TAATATATTTTATTGATTTTTTACAGAGAACTTGGGAGAGGGATAGAAAGTTAGAAACATTGATGAGAGAGATTGATCAGCTGCCTCCTGCACGCCCCCCACTGGGGATGTGCCCGCAACCAAGGCACATGCCCCTGACCGGAATCGAACCCGGGACCCCTCAGTCCGCAGGCTGACGCTCTATCCACTGAGCCAAACCGGTTCGGCAATATCATATTTCTTATCTGTAAAGTGAGGATGTTAGATCAGGTCAGTTTTTGTTTTGTTTTTCATTAGATTTCCTAAAAAAGGATTTGTGGTAGTAAAATAATTTGATTCCAAATGAAATTTAGCATTGAACCTTGGAGGTTTAGGGGGGAAAGGCAATGTACGTACCTCTTTTCTTCCTACTCCTGGGAACTTGTGGAGTATCTCTGATGTTCCTCTGTGGTGGTTTTTGAGTTATATCCTGCTGGGAAGAGGGAGTATAGGCTGAGGATTTATGAAGCGTCCCAGGCACAGCTAACTTTCCTCGTGTTTCTTTCTTTTCTCCAGCTTTGCCTTCTCGGATCTGGATCTCTCATTCCTCAAGAAAGCATCAACAAGCACACAGAGGGCATGGAAGCCCAGTCACTCCCTGCCCGGTTCCCTGTAAGCTGAGCTGCCTTCTTTGTTTTCCAGCTGAGAATCTCTTTTTGCTTAAGTTCTGAAGTTCCTTTGCCTAGAACTTCAGAAATTGTATCTCAGACATTCTTCTCCAGGAGACTAGCACCATTTATTTGTTTTATTGGTAGAAATGTTTTTATTTCCTTTCTTATAAAAAAACTCAAGTTTATGAGTAATGTGGTCAATAGTTAAGTGAGGTAATATTGAGGAATGAAGCATTTTCTGTCAGCACTTTTAAATAAAAGTGCTTCTTACAGTTTCTAAACCTAAAGCTTAGCAGAACTGGGTTGGGGACAATAAGTACCTTTTAGGAATTGACCAGAATCCAACACAAATAGTACTGACTCCTAAATAAATCTGATTCACCTTCTTCCCTCCCCCAGTGCTCTCTGCCTAAACTCTCTGTCAGGATTCAGAAAAGGGAGAGAGAGAATCTGGCTCAATGCAAACTTGTTTCATGTTGTAGGCACTGGTGACCTTCAAGGATGTGCTTGTGAACTTTACCAGGGAGGAGTGGAAGCTCCTGGATGCTGCGCAGCAGGTCATGTACAGAGATGTGATGCTGGAGAACTATAGGAACCTGGTTTCCTTGGGTAAGATGAACCTCTGTTTTTGGAGATGCACTGCCTGTGATGGTTTTGGAGACCCTGAAGCATGTATCAGAGTATGAGCTTGGGTTCAGGGACCTAATATCTTTGGGGCATAGAATAGGGGTGTTTTTTTTTGGTTTTTTTTAAATATATTTTATTGATTTTTTACAGAGAGGAAGGGAGCGAGACAGAGAGTCAGAAACATAAATGAGAGAGAAACACCAATCAGTTGCCTCCTGCACGTCTCCTACTGGGTATGTGCCCGCAACCCAGGTACATGCCCTTGACCGGAATCGAACCTGGGACCCTTCAGTCCGCAGGCCGACGCTCCATCCACTGAGCCAAACCAGTTTCAGCGAATAGGGGTTTTTATACTCCTCCTTTCATGGGGGAATTAGTTTTGATGTGTTGAATTTATAAAATGCACATTTTGCTTCCTCTGTAGCCTTACCTTATCTGCTCTTCAGAAGTCCCCATGGTTGGGGCTGGTGTTGAATCTGGGAGGCTCCTCTGGGTCCAGCTCAGAGTTCTGCACCCCTTGCCCATTCCGTATCTTTCACTGTGAACAGGACATCGACTTCCCAAGCCTGATGTGATCCTCCAGTTGGAAAAAGGGGAAGAGCCATGGCTGGTGGAGAGAGGGACTCACCAAGATGCCCATCCAGGTGAGGATCAGACAAGCTGCATTGCAGACAGTAGCCTAGATAACCCATTGGTCTAGCATCCCTAGAGATAGTGGTCACTAGTTCTTATTTCCTCAGAAATAAGAACTAGTGACCAACTCTTAGCATCACCATTCTCTCATTTTTACAGAATCATTTTTCTATCTTTGCCTGTCTTTTACCTTTCACGTAGTCCCTCCCACAGCCTTTGTGTGTGGGCTGGGGACCCCAGCACCCGCCATTGTCCTGAGTTCTCTCTGCCAGTTAGGAAACTGCAAGCAGAGCTCATCCGTTCCCACTGCTCGTTTCCTCTTCCCCGGAGCTACTGCTCTCAAGCACCTGTGCTCTCACAACACTCTTGCTCTTTATTTAATGTTTTTTCAATTTATACCTATCTTATTTTCATCTTCATATGTAAAATGCAAATTGTTATGTGAATTCCGAACATCACTTCTATTCCCTACTTCCCTGTACAGAAAACCAGCCTTCCAGGCTAAGAGACAGAAAGTACTCTCTGGTTTTTCTCTTCCTTTGTTCTCTGTAAGTGATCTTGTCACAGATTTTCCTTTCTGAGCCCAAAACTCAGACGTTTCCCCCCTAAGCCCTCTTTGGTGTTGCTCGTCTGAGTCATGATGCAAATACCCAACTTCACCTGAGCCGAACAGCCAGGACACTTACCATTGACCAGTGGGGGTTAGTACAGGCACAGCTTTCTAAGCCCCGTGCTGCCTGTATTCATTTCTGTCTGACACCTAATGTCTAAGTCTGTCAGGTGTGTCCCTGCACTCAGGCTGTAGTGCTTTGGTGATGTAGATCAGAGGCATTGCCTGGCATGACTGCATTCGTGGTTTAGGAACATTATATTGGCTGTAGTGTGAAGAATGCATGTCATGGGGAGGACCTGGAACAAATAGACATATTAGGGTCTTACATCATTAATAGTAGGATTAGATAATGGGAGTGCCACCCTTTCTGTGGGATTTGTTTTATTGTCCCCCCCCCCCCCCCCCCCCCCTCCCCCCCCCACTCCCACTTCACTGAATACCCTGATTCCAGTCTGTGGTTTCTCCTTACTCTCTCTGCTCCTTCTATGCACTGTGTTACCTTGCACATTTTCTGTGTACTGCTGTATCCATCTCTGTTAAGGTTTCAGAACCATGTCTGAAAGCAGGTCTATATGTCTTATATTTTTGTCTCCACATACATCCCAACATTCTAATGTTAATTTTTTTTTAGTTATGCAAACCTTTTTCATTTATTTCAGATTGGGATACTGCAGTTGAAATTAAAGCAGTTTCCAATAAGAGCATTTCCAAAGATAAACAGCCCTATGACATTAAAAAGGAAGGAATGGTAAAGAGTGATCTGTGGTATTTGTCATTAGAAGAAGTCTGGAAATGTGAAGATCAGTTGGACACGTATCAGAAAAACCAGGACAAACATTTGAGGCAAGTGGCATTTACCCAAAAGAAAGTATTTTCTCCAGAAAGAGTCAGTGAACATGGTAAATTCAGGGAAAACTGTCTTCTTCCTGGTCAGCTAGTACAGAGAGAGTATTTCCATAAACAAGACTCATGTACTAAAAGTTCTAAAGGTGATTTAGTTATTAGTGGTCATCAGGAAAGCTCTGTAAGTAATAGCAGTGAATGTAGCCAAACCTTCTGTCGGAACATTCACCGTATTCAATTTTCAAAAACTCAAACACGAGATAAAGCCTACAAATGCCTGGAGAATGATAACTCTCATAGGCATGGCACATCCCATGGTATATCCAAGGGTATACATAGAGAGAAACCGTATGAATGTAAGGAATGTGGAAAATTCTTTAGCTGGCGTTCTAATCTTACCAGGCACCGGCTTATTCATACTGGAGAAAAACCCTACGAATGTAAAGAATGTGGAAAATCTTTCAGCCGTAGTTCTCACCTCATTGGACATCAAAAGACTCACACTGGTGAGGAACCCTATGAATGTAAAGAATGTGGAAAATCCTTCAGCTGGTTCTCTCACCTTGTTACCCATCAGAGAACTCATACAGGAGACAAACTCTACACATGTAATCAGTGTGGGAAGTCGTTTGTTCATAGCTCCAGGCTTATTAGGCACCAGAGAACTCATACTGGGGAGAAACCTTACGAATGTTCCGAATGTGGGAAATCTTTCAGACAGAGCACACATCTCATTTTGCATCAGAGAACACATGTTCGAGTGAGGCCCTATGAATGTCATGAATGTGGGAAGTCTTACAGCCAGAGATCTCACCTCGTTGTACATCATAGAACTCACACTGGACTGAAACCCTTTGAGTGTAAAGATTGTGGAAAATGCTTCAGTCGAAGTTCTCACCTTTTCTCACACCAAAGAACCCACACTGGAGAGAAACCATATGAATGTCATGATTGTGGAAAATCCTTCAGCCAGAGTTCTGCCCTCATTGTGCATCAGAGAATTCATACTGGAGAGAAACCATATGAATGTTGTCAGTGTGGGAAAGCCTTCATTCGGAAGAATGACCTCATTAAGCATCAGAGGATCCATATTGGAGAAGAGATTTATAAATGTAATCGTTGCGAAATTACGTTTGTCCTCAACTCTCCATTTATAGTACGTCAGATAGCTCACACTGGAGAGCAGTTCCTAACCTGTAATCGGTGTGGGACAGCACTTGTTAATAGCCCTAACCTTATGAGACACCAGACAAGTGATATTAGAGAAAGTACATATTAATATAATGAATATGAAAAACTTTTCACAAAGAACAGTAACTTTACTTAGCTTTGTAGAACTCTCTGGAGCAGTGGTTCTCAACCTTCCTAATGCCGCGACCCTTTAATACAGTACCTCATGTTGTGGTGACCCCCAACCAAAAAATTACTTTCGTTGCTACTTCATAACGATAATTTTGCTACTGTTATGAATCGTAATGTAAATATCTGATATGCAGGATGTATTTTAATTGTTCGTGACTCAGGTTGAGAACCGCTGCTCTGGAGAGAAGCTGTACATTGTAATCCATGTGGAAAGGCTTTCAGTCTTGTACTGTCCTTTTTTTTTTTGCACTGAGGACATCATGAACCCATAGTGTGTGTATGAATTCATTTCTGAGGGTCAATTAACAAATTTTCACATTTTATGAAAAATAATTGTTTCCATACAAAGGTTTTCTCTTCTTGGAGAGGATCCTAAATCTTTAATTTCTGTCCATGACCCTAAAAAAGTTTAGGAAGAGAATCTGTCTTAATTCTGCATAAATGGCTCTCCTGTGTATAGGGACTGACCATTATTTGTCATTCTCTAGCAAACAATATATATGTTAAATGTTCAATAGTAAAATGTTTATATCTTTCCCAGGAAAAAAAATCTAGAAATGATTGTGAGAACCACAAGCTTTCAGAACTAGAAGGAAAATGATTCTGGTTAACTCATGCTCTTTATTGTACGTTGAGACCCTGTGAATTGGCTCAGGGCTCACGTTAATAAAAAGGACTGTTTTTAATTGATTTTTGAGCAAGTGAGAGACACCGATGTGAGAGAAAACATTGATCGGTTGCCTCCCACAGGCGCCCTGACTGGATGGAACTGGCAACCTGGTTATGTGCCCTGACCAGGAATAAGATTGGCAACCTTTTGGTGCACAGGAGGATGCTCAACCAACTGAGCCACACCAGCCAGGGCCGGGTTCACATTTTGAATGAAGTCAGACCCAGATCTAGATCACAGGCCCCTCCATTACTGGTGCTCTCCTCAGTGCTTACATATGTGTAACATTCCTATCAGAACCAGTTTTCATTGTAAGCAGTGGTTCTTTGTGTGAATGGAAGAGAAGCCCCTTAACCAAGCCCCTTAGACTTCCTGATAACTTATGGCTCAATTTTTCTCAACTGTATAATGGAGGTACTACCAGTGTCTACCTCAGAGAGTTGTGTGAATTCGTGTGATAGCGTGTATAATGTATTTAAAACAGTGCCTGGCAAATAGTGCTACCTGTGTTGGATAGTAACATTATCAATATTACTATTTTTAACATCCTAAGGAATGTGGGAAGAGATGTGTCTATGGATGATCACTGAAATAACATGATAGTGCAATTTGCAATATAAAAATGTATAATAAAATGCTTATTTATAGTGTATCCATGTAATATGCTGACATTAAAATTATGAAAAGTTCAGTAACAGGAACAATGTTAAAGCTGTCATGTGGTATGAAAAAAGCATGATAAAAGTACATAGGGATTGTCCTAGCTGGTTTGGCTCAGTGGGCGACCCTTTAATACAGTACCTCATGTTGTGGTGACCCCCAACCAAAAAATTACTTTCGTTGCTACTTCATAACGATAATTTTGCTACTGTTATGAATCGTAATGTAAATATCTGATATGCAGGATGTATTTTAATTGTTCGTGACTCAGGTTGAGAACCGCTGCTCTGGAGAGAAGCTGTACATTGTAATCCATGTGGAAAGGCTTTCAGTCTTGTACTGTCCTTTTTTTTTTTGCACTGAGGACATCATGAACCCATAGTGTGTGTATGAATTCATTTCTGAGGGTCAATTAACAAATTTTCACATTTTATGAAAAATAATTGTTTCCATACAAAGGTTTTCTCTTCTTGGAGAGGATCCTAAATCTTTAGTTTCTGTCCATGACCCTAAAAAAGTTTAGGAAGAGAATCTGTCTTAATTCTGCATAAATGGCTCTCCTGTGTATAGGGACTGACCATTATTTGTCATTCTCTAGCAAACAATATATATGTTAAATGTTCAATAGTAAAATGTTTATATCTTTCCCAGGAAAAAAAATCTAGAAATGATTGTGAGAACCACAAGCTTTCAGAACTAGAAGGAAAATGATTCTGGTTAACTCATGCTCTTTATTGTACGTTGAGACCCTGTGAATTGGCTCAGGGCTCACGTTAATAAAAAGGACTGTTTTTAATTGATTTTTGAGCAAGTGAGAGACACCGATGTGAGAGAAAACATTGATCGGTTGCCTCCCACAGGCGCCCTGACTGGATGGAACTGGCAACCTGGTTATGTGCCCTGACCAGGAATAAGATTGGCGACCTTTTGGTGCACAGGAGGATGCTCAACCAACTGAGCCACACCAGCCAGGGCCGGGTTCACATTTTGAATGAAGTCAGACCCAGATCTAGATCACAGGCCCCTCCATTACTGGTGCTCTCCTCAGTGCTTACATATGTGTAACATTCCTATCAGAACCAGTTTTCATTGTAAGCAGTGGTTCTTTGTGTGAATGGAAGAGAAGCCCCTTAACCAAGCCCCTTAGACTTCCTGATAACTTATGGCTCAATTTTTCTCAACTGTATAATGGAGGTACTACCAGTGTCTACCTCAGAGAGTTGTGTGAATTCGTGTGATAGCGTGTATAATGTATTTAAAACAGTGCCTGGCAAATAGTGCTACCTGTGTTGGATAGTAACATTATCAATATTACTATTTTTAACATCCTAAGGAATGTGGGAAGAGATGTGTCTATGGATGATCACTGAAATAACATGATAGTGCAATTTGCAATATAAAAATGTATAATAAAATGCTTATTTATAGTGTATCCATGTAATATGCTGACATTAAAATTATGAAAAGTTCAGTAACAGGAACAATGTTAAAGCTGTCATGTGGTATGAAAAAAGCATGATAAAAGTACATAGGGATTGTCCTAGCTGGTTTGGCTCAGTGGGTAAAGCTTCGTCCTGCGGACTGAAGGGTCCCAGGTTTGATTCTAGTCACGGGCATGTACCTTGGTTGTGGACGCATCCCCAGTAGGGGGTGTGCAGGAGGCAGCATATCGATGTTACTCATACATGTTTCTCTCTATCCATCTCCCTTCCTCTCTGTAAAAAAAAAATCAATAAAATATATATTTTTTAAAAGTACATAGGAATAAAATCAAATATGCAAAAAAATAAGTGAACTGTAAAAAATGAAATGAATGTTGCTCAAAACTCTTGTCAGATTAGTAGTAGTCTACATATTGGGGAATTTGGCATTTACTTTTTTTTAAGTATTTTTTTTTTTTTTTTAGAGGGGAAGGGATAGAGAGAAACATCGATCAGCTGCACACTCCCTACTGGGGATGTGCCCACAACCAAGGTACATGTCCTTGACTGGAATCGAACCTGGGACCCTTCAGTCTGTAGGCTGACGCTCTATCCACTGAGCCAAACCGGTCAGGGCTAGCATTTACTCTTTTTTTCTTCTTTCAACTTTTCTGTTCTTTCCATCTCTTCTAAGAATACATATTACATTTAGGATCAGGAAAATAATCTTGTCAGTGATGGGATATTTTCCAAAGTTCTTATCTACAAGTAAGCTAGAACTGTAAGGGAGATTGAGAAGGTCACAGAATACAAGATTAATATACAATAAACTTTTATTTCTATGTACTAGCAGTGAACAATTTAGAAATGAATTCAGAAAAACAATCTCATTTACAATGACACAAAAATATGGAAGAGATAATGAAACAAGCAAGGTCTATATAGTAAAAAGTGTATATTGTGGAAATTCCAGAAGATGTAATATAGAACACATAAAACATGGTAAGTGGAGTAATACTAGTCCAGAATGGGAAAACATTGTTAAGATGGCAATTCAGAGTTTGGCATGTCTTCAAATTTTTTGAGTTATTAAAGTGTAAATTAGAACTGTTACCATATGACCCATCAATTCCATTCCTTGAATTTAAAAAAATGACCATGTAAAAAGATGGCATGTGTAGTAATTCACAGCATGTGAATGGACAAATTTTGTTTCAGCGCTATAATGAAATAGCACTCAGTAATAAAATGTAACAAAAACAACAGCATGGTTAAATCTCAAAAAACATTCTAAGTAAGTCAGCCATAGAAGAGTATATACTATATGACCCATCTATAAAATTTTTCAGAACAATCTTATCTAATAATAGACAAACATGGTAATTGACCATACCTTCGCTACGCCTCCCATTGGCTAATCAGCATGATACGAAAATTAACCGTCAACAAAGATGGTGACTAATTTGCATACTGCAGGCAGGAGGGGCTAGCGTGAGTCGCCATCTGGGCCCCCATGTGCCGCCCTGCCCCCAGCCGGGAACCACTGAAGGGTCCCAGGTTTGATTCTAGTCACGGGCATGTACCTTGGTTGTGGACGCATCCCCAGTAGGGGGTGTGCAGGAGGCAGCATATCGATGTTACTCATACATGTTTCTCTCTATCCATCTCCCTTCCTCTCTGTAAAAAAAAAATCAATAAAATATATATTTTTTAAAAGTACATAGGAATAAAATCAAATATGCAAAAAAATAAGTGAACTGTAAAAAATGAAATGAATGTTGCTCAAAACTCATTAACCGTCAACAAAGATGGTGACTAATTTGCATACTGCAGGCAGGAGGGGCTAGCGTGAGTCGCCATCTGGGCCCCCATGTGCCGCCTAAGCCCTGCCCCAGCGTGAGTCGCCATCTGGGCCCCCATGTGCCGCCCTGCCCCCAGCCGGGAACCCCATGTGCTGCCCTGGGCGGCGGGGCTTGGCAGAGCGATTGGCCAGAGGAAGCCCTATTCTCGCAGGAATCCTCCTGCAATGGGCTTCTAGTCCTACCTAATATAAGGCTAATATGCAAATTGTCCCCTCGAGTTTGACCGCTCACTATGATGTGCGCTGGCCACCAGAGGGCAGCACAGAATGAAGGAAGTACCAGGCCGGCAGCAGGAGGAAGGAAGGCCCCGATTGGCCCTGGTCACCAGCCAGGCCTGGGGACCCTATGTATGCTCAAATTTCATGCCCCAGGCCCCTAGTCTATAATGACAACAGATACATCAGTAGCTGCCTGTGGCTGGGGGTGGCAGAGTAACAGTGCAGACAGGACCATAAACGCCCTTCATATGGAGTGAGGCTGTATGTTGTGTGTAAATTATACCTCAAAGTTTTTATTTGAATTTGGAATTCAGAAAACCATGGACTTTTGGGAAATAAAAGCTGCAGCTCCAAGTGAACACTAACACCAATAGAAACTATAGACAGCTTGATATGATGTAGCCAATCTGCTAAACCCTTTAATGCATTAGATTATTTCTATAACTTTGAGGAAAATAGTAATATACCTTCTATAGTTAGGGCAAATTGACAGTAAATGGTGGAGCTTCATTTGAGAAATAACTAGCAAGTGTGTGGCAGATCTCAATAAAATAATGTTTGACAGAGTAGAAGGTTTTATAAAATTAGCTATTGTAATATAGAAATTACTTTTCAAAAGATTCCACACACACACCAAAAAGAATGTTTGAAAATGCCACTCACTAATTTTTGGGGGGTGGGACTAATTTTTATTAAAATGTTCTATTAATATGTAATACATTTTTGAGTTGTTAAATTGTAAGTTAGAACTTTTACCAAAAAGCATGGACCTTAGTACACTTATACCACTGTTTGACAGATTAGAAGGTTTTATAAAATTAGCTATTGTAATATAGAAATTACTTTTCAAAAGATTGACACATTTAAAAGATTCCACACACACACCAAAAAGAATGTTTGAAAATGCCACTCACTAATTTTTGGGGGGTGGGACTAATTTTTATTAAAATGTTCTATTAATATGTAATACATTTTTGAGTTGTTAAATTGTAAGTTAGAACTTTTACCAAAAAGCATGGACCTTAGTACACTTATACCACTGCCGTGTTTGTTCTGTTACTGTCAATTACTTTAATTCCTTGTATTATTTAAAGCCGACAGGGCTGCAGCACAGCCACTCCCGGCCCTCGGCTCCCCCGCCCCGTGCGCCGGAACTCCCGCGGAGGCTTCTGGGAGTTGTAGTTCGTTCTGCCCTCGGTGTCACGACCCGATTCCTGTGCGTCCCCGTGGGCCGTCAGCGGCTCCCTCAGGCCCGAGGAGCTTCGCTCCGCAGCGGGCGTCTGGCAGCCGTTACCCGGTGCGGTGACAGACTGGAGTGGGCTCCTCTCCCCGGGAGCCGCCGCGCCAGCGCCCGGAGGGGCGCCTCAAAGTCTAGCGCGAGGACGCAGTCTGGCTGCAGATCCGGGAGGTGGAGGCAGCCAGTCTCCCCCAGACCCTCCCTCT